CAATGATGCAAATTGTTATTATTGTGAAAATAGTTACTCATGGGCATGTTGGCATGACTGGTATGGCCGTTAACATGGTCATTTCACGTTTCCTGAAATGTGGGATTCAGCCCAAGACGAAGGTAGATGAATCCTTGGAAATGAACACTTACATTTGCTCAGTTCCCTTGTGGGAATCAAGCAAATGGGATTGCCCAGTGAGAACAATGACACTGCTTTAGAAGGCATTTTCTCATGTTCACAGTGTATTTAAGAGAATCGTTACGAAAAAGGGCCTGAGTTTTTGAAGAATATGTCAGAAATCTTCAGCCCAATTTTTACCTAGGGCAGGACAAGAATGGATTTTATTTTTTATTTTATTTATTTATTTATTTATTTATTTATTTATTTATTTATTTATTTTAGTGGAAATCCTAACATCTATTGTCAGGGTTATGCAGAAAACCTGGACAATGTGACACACAGCCATCACTTTGTACATGAGTAACCGGTCCAGTCCTCCAAGGCTAGTTCATAACAAATGCTGCTTGTTCTCTGTAGGGTTTAACATTTTCCCAGCACTGGCTGGTTAGTAAAATCACTCCTACAGACCAGATGAGTTATTCCTGGACCTGGGCTTCTCTGGCCACCTGCCTCCCGTTGGCTGTTCCAGTTCCCGGTTCTAGTAGAAGACATACCTGAGAAGGCCACTGCATTTTCTTGGTTGCATTTCCATGTAGCCTTTTAATCTCCACAGATGAGACACTTAACACACTCCCGCCTCAAATGGCCGTGAGTTCTGCTCTGTGTCAGCATCAGAACCAGTCTTCTCCCAGGCAGGGGGCTGGAGAGACCCTGACCCTAGTAGTTAGCATCAAGTCACGGAGGTAATTGGCCCCAAGCCGGCCTCATGCCCTGGCTCCAGAAACTGGACTCTTACCTTGTCATACATATATTTATTGAGCACCTACTATATGCGAGACCCACAAAACCTGTCCTTCTTTAACTTTTTCATTTTAAGGAACTGAGTCTCATCCTCCCATTCCCAAGTATCAACCTTGGTTCCCTGATCAGTAAGTCATTTCTTCTAGAACAATGTTTCTCAACCTTTAATGTGACTACCAATCACATCTTGTTAAACTGTAATTCTGATTCAGTGGGTCTGAGTGGGGCCCAAGATTCTGGGTTTGTAACAAGTTCCCAAATGCTGCTGCTGCTGCCGCTGCTGCTGCTGGGAAAGCTGCCTGGATTCCACTCTGAGTGGCAAGGAAGTGCAGCCAGCAGCATCCTCGCCACCTGCACGTTTTTGTTAGGAAAACAGAATATGAGGCCTCACTCCAGAAGGGCCTGCTCAGACCCTGCCCTTTGACAAGGTCCTTAGGATGTGAGTAGCCCCGATCCCAAAGCACTGGCAACATCAGTAGCACCAGAGAGGAAGTGCAAAACACCTGTGGGTCTCCTCCGCCTCCCCCGCCACGGAGTCCCATTAGGGGGCAGAGCCCAGGTGACTGGGGTGGATGGCAGGTTTAGAAACCTCAGCATTTTTGGAGGGCATGTCCTAGTCATGGGACTTCATGGTTTGGGAGGCTTTCGAGATGATCTAATGACAATTATCTTAGGTTGTGTGTTCCTCCCAAGTTGTTATCCTGCACGTCCCACATGGGAGACCCGGGCCAGGTGCTTGTCCAGGGTCACATGGTTAGTAAACAATGGAGCCAGGCTTCCAGAGTGCATGTGATTTTTAAAAATATATATATTTTATTGATTTTTAACAGAGAGGAAGGGAGAGGGATAGAGAGTTAGAAACATCGATGAGAGAGAAACATCACATCGATCAGCTGCCTCCTGCACACCCCCTACTGGGATGTGCCCGAAACCAAGGCACATGCCCTTGACCGGAATCAAACCTGGGACCCTTCAGTCCACAGGCCAAGACTCCATCCCCTGAGCCAAACAGGTTAGGGCTTTTTATTTTTTAAATTTTTTTTTTAGCACATGTGATCTTTCCACTGCGGCTCCGTCCTGGGCCGCAGTCAGCCCAGCTTCCCGCCCCTCTCAGGAATGCTTCTCCTTGACCATGACCCAAATCTTCCCCTCCCCCATTCGAGTTTCAGCCCATTACCTACAAACCTCCACGCCCTCACAGATGCTTTTCTTTGGCACCCATAAATGCCATCCTCTCCCCACCCACGTCACACACTAACCAAACCACATGTTTAATTGGTTTGATTTCCCCCAAAGACTGATTCTGTCAGCCTTTTGATAATGTTTGCGGCTCTTCTCAGGCAGGTGAGGTATGTGGGTGGGAAGGGTGTTGTCTGCGGGACTTCCATCCATCTTTCAGGAAGGCAGTTAAGCTTCCTGCTCTTTGTCTCCCATCTCCACGCCTCTTGCCGTGTTCTGCAGCCTTCTGGAATGTACATGAGCCCCCACTCTCTGTATTTACAGCTTTGAGACTTCCTCATTCCTCTAAATTGGCCGTGTTCTCCCCTCCTGTCTCTACCCGGGCAGGTGCTGCTCACGGTGCAAAGTTAAGTGGACATACCTGGAATTTATGGTCTAAGACAGAGGTCTTAACCTGGAGTCCACAAATCCCTAGCCTAATACTTTCGAACTTAAGAGTACATTGGAATCTCCTAAGGAGATTTCTAAAAAGTCTGTACTGGTCGAAACTGGTTTGGCTCAGTGGTAGAGCGTCAGTCTGTGGACTGAAAGGTCCCGGGTTCGATTCCAGTCAAGGGCATGTACCTTGGTTGCGGGCACATCCCCAGTAGGTGGTGTGCAAAAGGCAGCTGGTCGATGTTTCTTATCGACGTTTCTAGCTCTCTATCTTTCTCCTTTCCTCTCTGTAAAAAATCAATTTAAAAAAAAAAAAAAAAAGTCTGGACTGCACTCAGATCAATTAAGGTAAAAATCCTGGGAGTGGGAGGCAAGGACAAAGCTCTCCAGGTGATGCCAATGTGCAGCGAGGCTGCGCACCCTGGAGAGCAGGTGAAATTGCTTCTGGACAGGCATATGCGCATTCCCTGGGAGAGCTGAGCTGTAGCTGTTAGCCAGTTTCCAAAGGCTTCTGTGATGCCTTTCTCCTTCCCTTTCTCCCTCTCCAAATGGGCTCAGGGACTGGTTGAAGGTAAATGAACAGGAAGGATTTACCAATTACTAAGAAAACACCAAATATTCAATAGGCATGGACATGCAGAGCAGAGAGAGGGCTGGGGACTTAGGGAGTCTGTATTATTTGACGGGATGGGGGGAATCCCTGCCTCTCTTCCAATTAGCCCAGAGAATGGTGTGACTTCAGATGCTGCCACTACAGAGATCTGATCACATCCTTAACTCCCCTGCTGCCCATCAAACCGAGGCCTAGCCCCCAATGCTAACACTTGGTTCCTTCCTTACCCAGCACAGGGTGTCCTCTCCAGCCCACCCCCTCATTTCTTCACACACTCGAGTCCCAGGAGGATGCTCACTGTTCTCTTTTAAGACTCCTTCATGCCTTTGTTTCTATTCTTTCCCCAGTTCCTCCCCCTCTCCCGGTCTCCCGTGACCTGGGAGCGGAGGTAGGATTGAAGAGACAGAGAATGGCTGGAGGCAGGGTTCCCAGATGACAGAAGGGGCTCAGTTCAGATTTTTCCAGTGAGGGGGAGCCTTCTTGTGTTAGAAGCTCCTGTTTGGGGAGAGTCTGGGGGATGATATAATGAGATTCAGAAGCCCTGGCCCTCAAGGGACCTAAATGCCATGGGTTAGCAGACCCATGATCTGAGGAGTGAGGGAAGCTTAATAGGTGCTGTGAGAGGAACATGTGGGGAGGAGGCGGATGGGATGGGAGGTGGAGGGTCAGCAGAGACTTCATCCAGAAAGGGACCCACACCTAGCAGGGCTCAGCGAGAGAGATGGGGCTGAAATAGGAGGTGGAGGCCAGATTGTGGAAGGCGATTGAATGCCAACCTGAGGATACCTACTGCACTCAGGCTGAACCTGGTTGGTGCACCTTGGTTTTGCCAGTCTTCCTCCCTCTGCTCTCCTGGGCTGAGAATCCAGGTGAGATAGCTGTACCTTTTCCTCCCTTCAGCACTTCTCCCGCCCCAAGAAGATGCCACCATACAAATGTTAATTTATTACTAAATATTTACATCAAAATAGCAAAGTTAAATATTGGTATATTGTTGATAGTTTCAGAGTTCGGTAGAATTTAGAAGTTTGCTCTTAAGAAGAGACAAGTATATGAACTGTTTCTTTTTTGTTATTGTTCATCCTCCCCAGAGGATATCTTTCCATTGGTTTTTAAGGAGAGTGGGAGAGATAGGGATAGACGGAGAAACATCAGTGTGAGAGCCCAGGCTGGGGAGGAGTCTGCAACCAAGGTACATGCCCTTGACCAAAATCAAACCCAAAACCCTTCACTCCACAGGCGGACACTCTATCTACTCAGCCAAAGTGGCTCGGGCTGAACTCTTTCTGGAAACTCATGAAGTAGAAATGAAGTAGTGGTTTTCTAGTCTCATCACTTCCACCTACATCCACCTGTTACTTACACCTAACACATTGTTGGCAGTTGGTGTTAATTAAAGTGTTTGTTAATACGGATGCAATTCATAATTTGGAGGTTTTCCCCCCCTGAATTTACATAATGAGCCGTTTGCACCTCATTAAAGTACAGAACAATTACGACAGCCCAAGTTGAAAAAACATTATAGTGATACTAACATAATGAAATCACAGAAAGGGGAAAAACTCCTTTGTTCCCCCATTGGAAGTAACTCTGACAGAAGTGACTCTTCTTACTTGAATATTCATTAAAGAGAAAAAAGACGTCCCTCGTCACATACACACACAAAACACCTGGCAAGTAAAGAGCACAGGTGGGAAGCAGATTTGACCCCAGGTTTACAGATTCGACCCCGGAGGGGCGTGGCCGCGGGGCCACTTCAGACCGCCTCTTCCGGAACAGGCCTGTGCCCCGGAAGTAGTTTGTCGAGTGACCTTGGGCCGCTGAAGGAAGCTCTGGAGGGGCTGACACCATGTTTCTGTCGGCTGTCTCCTGTAAGTGGGGCTGGAGAATGAGGCGGCGGCTGCCAGGCTGCGGCGAGGGCGGGGGCAACGACGGGCAGGCCCCGACTGGCAGGGCCCAGGGGAAGCGGACGGGCGCGCCGGCGGGCGGCCTTGGCTGCGGCCTTGGCTGCGGCCTCCCGGGCCTTGAAGACTACAGCGCCCGGCATGCCCCGCGCGTGTCACTGCGGGCGAGAAGGTCCTGGCGGTCTGCGGGGCACCTCGGGGTCTGGTTGCGATTCGTTAGGACAGCAGGAGTGGTGTGTCAGCAGAACCACGGGATGTTCGGTCTGGGAAAAACCTCAGGACTTCCAGTCCGTTCGTTTCGAACCCTCAAAGGAAGGAAACAGCACTGTCCGAGCGGGGCAGTGCGTTCCCCAGGTCGTACAGCTGGGCAGTGAGGGGAGTGCTGACTCCCAAGACAGTGCTCTTCCCTGCACCAGGCTGACTGCCCCGCTAGGTTGTTCCCCTTCTCCCCCTGGATAACTTGTCAAACAAGGTCCTTGTTCCAGTGCAAATGTTTGCATCTTAGGGAATAAAGGGAGCAGATGTCACTCTAGGAAGATTTGAAAGGTAGTCCAACAGAAAAGAGTGTGCAGAGCATTACATCCAGAACTGTGTTGGTCTGGATCTTTTTACCTTGTGTTATAAAATCCTAGCCGGACCCCTAGTAGCGAGGCAGTAGTGACCTGAGTGACAGCCCATGGCGTACTTTGTGACGTAAATATTTTTGGTTATTGATGACGTTTATATGAACTTTGCTTAAGAAAAATAATAAATGGATATTTTTTTCTTTTCTCTTCCAACCTGTCCTTGCTACAAAAAGTTGCCAAGAGCAAATCAAAGTAAGTAAAAGTTTTTTGTTTTTTTTAAAACTTGTTCATGTTACATTCCTTAGTCCAGGTGCTGCCAATACATCCTTATGTTAAACAGCATTTGGCCTCCCATTTTCTAAAAGTTGGTTTGAGGACCGTACATGGTGAATTATTTTGGCCCTATAAACTCTTTCAAAAAAATATTTTTCCTTTTGCCCAATTGACCTACTTAAGTGAGCATTTCAATAATTTACTTAAAGGAGCTCTTGCTGTCTTGTTCCTAAGAAGCCATCAGGATGCCCAGCTCTGTTTAGACTACCATCGAATTTTTGTTTCCTCAAATTGAGGACCCATGTCTGTTTGGAGCCCATTATGGGAGTCTAGCAGGACAGTCTGTGATCTGATTAAACTATAAGCCTATTTTAATGAGTTTTATAATCCTTTGAACTCATGGTAGAAGCATTTCAAAACTAGCAAAGATGAAAGAATTCACGATGTACCAGAGAGACTATAAATTCCAAACTGTTATCTTAAAATAAATTTTATAGACAGTAACTGAAGATTTGTTGTGTGTTAAAAATAGGAAAATTCTAATGCAGCCTTTGCTTACAAATCAAGACATGTCACAAATCCTCAAGACTAGTAGGTTTTTGTTCTGTTTTTATTTTATTTTATTTTATTAAAGTTAAATATGTATATTGCTGTTCCCTCCACTCCAGTATCTTTTATTGATTCATATAGCTTTTCCCACAATCTTGTTATTTATGTGGGAATTTCCCACCTCCAGGTTCTGTAGGAATCTCTCATGCTTTCAGTATTTTTAGAGGTACTCCCTGCCTCTCATGTTCTTTGTATCATTCTTGTGACATATGTCATATATGTTTTGCCTTATAGACCTTCTGTACACATTCACCTTGCACACTATACTGTTAGTTTCTCCAGGGTGCTGATGTAGCCTTAATAGAGTTTTGCATTTCCCATAGTGCTTTCCACAGAGTAAGCACATAATAGCTTTTTGTTAAATCTTTTTGAGTGAATGGCTTAATATTATCTCTCTTAATCAACAAATACTGTATGCCTCATGTACGAGGCACTGTGCTTAGCATGGAAAGGGATGCAAAGATGTACAATGTATCTTAGGTGCTTCCTATTCTTTTTGGAATTAGATGAGAAATAAAACAGCATGCTTTATGAAGGGCGACTAGACATAGGAAAAAGTAACAATACAACGAATTAAAAGGTGCAGTGAGGCAAAACATGAACTTTATGCTTTGGAGAACTGTAACTTAAATGAAATATATGAAGAGGGGAAAGGTGTTAGACGTTAGCAACAGAAAAGTTCTAATCCCTTAAATTTGTCCCTTCCTGATTTTACTCTTATTGCTCATCCCTGGCAGATGGGTGCCTTATGAGACAGCTGTCTTTATGATTTCCAGACCGGCCACCTAGGGTTACCAGTACATTTGTATTTTTTCCCCCCTCCTGACCTCTGCTCCTTCTAAGAGGTGGGCCTACAATGTGGTTATTGCTTTGGTCAGGTCATTCTGTAATAAAACAAACTTTGGGAATCAAAACCACTGAAATTGTGACTTACACAACACATAGTCCGTCTTAAAACTGAACCTTCTTAGGGCCAACGGATGTCCCACAACTATCACTACTGGGTCGGGTTCTCAAAATGTGCCAACTCCTTGTGACTGATTTGAATCCATTTCTCCAGCTTCTAACAGCTTACTTTTAAATCTTAGGAACATTCTAGTGAGAATGGTAAGCCAAGCTGGGACAGGTTTCTCCTTCAACATCAAGAGAAGCCGCCTGGGGGAGAAACTGACGCTACTGCGTTATGATCCATTTGGTAAGATTCAGAAAAGTTACTCCACAATAAAGTCAAATGTTTTCAGGTCCTTTTGCTCTTTCCAGACCGATGCTGACCAGTGGCAGGTTTTTGGCCCTCTTGACACTAGCATATATTCAGCCAGTGTGCACTGAATGTTTACTGTGGTGCCGGTCACTGTCCCAGCTACTGGATGTGCTACAACACACAGCAGGCTCAGTCCCTGCACTTTTAGCACTAGGTCTGATTTGGAACGGAGAGAAAGAAAAAAAAAAAATTATGCTAAGTGCTATGAGAAACAAGCATGATGCTGAGATACAAGGTAAAGTTGTGGAGAGGTGGGTCTCAACTTTAGCTAGGATAGGTCAGGGTCACTCTTGTAGGAGATAGTTATCCATAGATCTGAGGTGAGAAACCAGCCATGTAAAGAGAGTAGTGGAATTGCCCTGGAAACAAAGAGTTGAATTTCTTGAGAAGGAGAGGGAAGGACCTCCTGGGGTCATTTGCAAAGAAAGTAGGTTCAGGTTTTAGTTCAAGAAGTATGGTTTTTATATATTAATGCAGGAAGGCAGGACATTTTATTTTCTATTTTATACCATCTGCTAAAAGAACTTAATAAATGGCACCTCTAAACGATCTCATTATGTGGAAGTATTTCAGAAGGGACAAGTGTTCCCAAGGCCTGATTGCCTGCTCACAATCAGGCAGCCCCTTACTGCTGCTGGTGGAAGCCTGTCCCGTTTTTGGATTTCATGAGCAGATTTATGCAAAATCAACTAGCAAACACATTCTTTATTTGAAAACTTAGGGCAATTCATTTCATTTTTCTGCCCTTGCTTTTAAATAGCCCCTTTCTGATTGCTTCTGTACTGGAGCTTCTGGGCTGGTGAACACATGGAGGTTCTGGGAGAGTAATAAGCCCTGAGACGCTGTGGAAACTATGCCCCATCCCCATTCCTGGCATCACTTCCATCTGGCTATTCCCGAGTTACTCTCTCTAGGCAGATAGTGTCAGAATTGAGTTGAATTGTAGGAGAAAGTTAACTGAAGACATCCAGTTGGTGACCAGAATTGGAATTGGTACCAGAATCTTATTTCCAAAAATTAATCAATAATGAAAGACAGACACTTAACCTCCTAATCAGCTTTTTCATTAAGAACAAGAATTCACGAACTCTCGCTTCTAGTCAAGATGGAGTTATAGGAAATGAATTTACCTTCCTGCCGAAAACAACTAAGAAAAGGACAATATAGGTCACTGAAGACAGTGGTCTCTGGGAGAGAGGAAACAGACTAGTGCTTGTGAATACCCAGACAGAATGGAAAGTTGTGTATTTTTTGCTTACCTACACAAGCCTTCATGTCTTCAGATGCTATAAATCAATCATAACACAACCACCTGTACTCTCCAGGCACTCTGAATACCCTTTTGTAGCTGAGGAATTCGAATCAAGGACAGACAGCTGAAACATGGGACAAAACAAGGATTTGAAATCAGGACCATCTGACTCCAAAGGCTGGGCCTGAACCACTTTCTGTAGCACTTGTTCTTGAGAGAGTTCACAGGAGGCTAAACCCTACTTACCGCCACCTGACCTCCGGTCGGGCATTAGTGCGAATGCTGGCTGACAGCTGCATTCATCGCTGCCTTCAGTAAGAAGGTCTACAACCACTGTTCCTTGTGCTGCATTCATCAGTGTCTAAGAAAAATAAAAACAAGGGCTGGACCAATGTGAGGAGGCATTTAAAAAAGGCTCTAAGAAGTTGTTCTCACCTTAAAATTGTGTGAGTTCCATTCTTTAACAGAAATAAAATGCTCTGCTATTTTTATGGTGTTAAAATTTCTGGTCATTCTTTATTATAGTAAAAAGGGAACTAGGTTTGTACCTGATGATTAGGAGTCTGAATTGCAGGATGAAACCTTATATAGTGGAAAATTACTAGGATGAGAAACTAGTCTGTTAGGGTTGCTTAGTCCGTTAGGGTTGCTGTTATAAAATACCTCAGACTGAGTGGCTGATGAACAACAGAAATGTATTTCTCAGGGTTCTGGGGCTTGGGAAGATCAAGATCAAGGTGCCAGCTTGGTCGTGTCTGGTGAGGGCCCTCTTGTTTCATAGCCTCTGCCTTCTGGCTGTGTCCTTACCTGGTGGGAGGGCAAGCAGGGTCAGTGGGGTTTCTGTTCTATAATAAGAATATTACTCCCATTCAGGAGGCTCTACCTTCGTGACCAAAGCCCCTCCCCAAAGTTCCACCTCCTAATACCATCATTTTTCTGGAGTGAGGATTTCAACATGTGAATTCAGGGTGGTTGGGATGCAAATATTCAGACCATACATAGCAATATGATTTTGGATTGTGTGGTGTTTTTCTCCTCCTGATTTCTTTGTATCAGTCGATGTAAACTCAAAGTGATGAGCTTTACAATAAAGTAGAGGCATACCCCAGAGATCTTCCAGGTTCAGTTCAAGACCACTGCAATATTGCAGTAAAATCAGTCATGTGTACTTTTTGGTTTCCCAGTGCATATAGAAGTCATGTTTATACTGACTAGTAAGTATGCAATAGCATTATGTCTAGAAAACATTGTACGTATCTTAATTTAAAACATTTTGTTGCTAAATAAAATATTTTATTTAGCATCATCTGATTTAGCCAACCATGAGCTGAGCATTCAGCGAGTTATAATCTTTTTGCTGGTGGGTGGTCTTACCTTCAGTTTGTAAAAAAACGCAATCTACAAAGCGCAGAAAAGGAAGCGCAATTAAACGAGGCATACCTATGTTCTCGCATTTTAGCTCCTGTAGAGTTTTTTGTACAACATTAATAAATGTTGAATAACCTCTGTACTATTTTGAGTAAGAAAATGTATTGGAATTTTCATCCTTAGTGTGGAGGTACAGCTGGCTCTCTGTATCTTATGGGTTCCGCATCTGTGGATTCAACCAATGCAGAGAAAATATTCGAGGGGGGGGAAGGAGGGAGTTGTGTGTTGATGTGTATTATGTAGTTATGTCTGTACTGAACATGTACAGACTTCTATTTTCCTCCCATTTTCTAAACCGTACAATATAACAACTAATTGGATAGCATTTACATACTATTAAGTATTATTAGTAATCTAGAGATGATTTAAAGTATAAGTGAGGATGTATGTAGCTATATGCAAATACTTCCCTATTTTATACAAGGGACATGAGCACCCATGGATTTTGGTATTCGTGGTGGTGGTGTGGGGGGATGTTCCTAGAACCATTCTCTTTCTCCCCCCCCCTCCCCCCCCCCCCCCCCCCCCCATATCAAGGGGACTCTGTGTTAGGAACTTATTTGTTAGATTGGTTTAAGTTTTGAGGTTGGGGAAGGATATAACCATGAACAGTTCTGACCTTAGTTGAAAGTGGGAGAAAAGATTCATATATAAATTTTAAACAGACGATTAGAGTTTTTCTGGTAAGGAGGGGTACGAGCCTTGGCAGCACCACTTTGTCTTTTCGGAAGGAGAGAATGTTCTGGGACATCAGGCTGCTTGGCTTTCTGCCCGCCTACTTGCTGACGCCCTGCAGGCTTGCGTGCTCTTTGCCTTGGGGCCTGCCCATGCCTTAGGGTACCAAATAGCTGGGCAGATCTCCCAGCATATTCTAGTAAATGGTTAGTTTAAGGGTAATGTTTTGTGAGTCTGCTTTATGAAGAAAATCGGCTAAGGAAACAGAAACACTCTCAATTGTTTAAGCGTCTCATAGTATACTCCATGGCTAGAGGCAGCCTCTGTCCTTCTAAGCTCCTCTTCCTCACACAAAACTAGATGCGAATTTCTGAGGAGGAAGGATTAAAGGCTGAGGCATAAGCTTATTAAATATTGTTAAATATATGAAGGTTTATCACGAAAATGAAAACTTGCCAGTTTTAATCATTGGATGACTAAACAAGACAATGTAGACTTTAATTGAAGCAGAATGGGTTTAGGTTCAATGAAGGGAAACAGCTTGACAGATTCATTTTTCTATGTAGTAAGCAGAAAGTATTTTGACAACGTTTATGTTTATGATTGTGGTTAGCAGTGCTCAGCTAGCACACGTTGAGTGTTCACTGTGTATCTGGCAGCAGCCTTGTGAGGGAGTTGGAGTTATCTCTCTCATGGGAAGAGAGTATTTTAAGAAATTTGCTCAGAGACTCAGAGCAGAGAAAGATGGAGCCCACGTGCGAACCCAACCTTTTTGACTCTAGGCCTCCTATTCTTTCTATTACACGGAGCTAAATTAATCTTCCTGATTTTTCTTCTTTCTTAATCAGGACCATCCCCTGTGGTCAGTCTAAGGCCATGAAGCCCCACTCTCATTCCTACCACTTACTGCCATTCCTTCACACCAGATACCCAAGGATGATGATGATGGTGATGATGATTCTTCTTCTTCTTTTTAAAATGTTTTTATTGATTTTAGAGAGAGAGGAAGGGAGAGTGAGAGAGAGATAGAAACATCGATGAGAGGGAAACATTGATTGGCTGCCTCCTGCATGCCCCCTATGGGGGATGGAGCCCGAAACTTGGGTATGTGCCCTGAATGGGAATCAAGCCAGTGACCTCTTGGTTCATGGGTCGACGCTCAACCTCTGAGCCAAACCGCGGGGCTAAGGACTCTTCTTACGCTTTTGTAAACTCCACACTGCCTAACACAGTTCTGTGGACTTCAGTATTTATTCTTTGAATTAAGGGAGTGAATCAAAACATTTTTATAAATAAAACCTTGCTTTACTAATTTTTGTTAGTTACTCCTGTTCACACCTACATAATCTCCTGATTGGTTATCAGTAAAGCAAGTTCCTTCTTTTATCTATCTTTTTAGCTGTATGTAGAAAAACATGGAGAAATATTTCTTGCAATGAATAATATTGTCTGATAGGAAAAGGTTTTTTCTACCTTTTTATATTTTGTAGTCTTCCTTGGATTCTGAAGGAGCATCAGTCCTGCTTATATTTAATATTAGATGATTTGAAATAAATGAAAAATATCCCTATGTAATAGGTACATTTTATTTTTATTAATATTATAGATGAAATTATATCGACTGGATAACGGTTCTTAATCCAGCTGCTCATTAGAATCATGAGGGTTTAAAAATATAGACTTTTAGTCCTAGCCTAAATCTGAGGAACTGGAATGAGGGCAGGGATTTATTTCAGTAAGCTTCCTAGCTACCTCTTAATCATAGACAGTTTGGGCATCTCCTATATAGAGTGGCTGTGTTGATTATAGAAGAGAAGAAAAAAAAAGAAGCTAAAATCTTTGTATGGTAGGGACAAGTGAATTGTTATATCATATTAGTTTGAGTTCCTGGGTGTATTTTTTGTTTTTTTGGCAAAGAAGAAGAAAGTGGTGTGTGTGTGTGTGTGTGTGTGTGTGTGTGTGTGTGTGTGTGTATGTATGAGAGTGGGGGCAGGTGGGGAAGATGAGAAAGAGATCTATAGAGGATTAACAGATAGATGAAGTTAATGGAGGACTATAGGGTATTATAGGAACTATGAAAACCTTATTGCCTAGCATTGAGTCTCCAATCTTTCATCTGAGCATTAGCACTTTTGTTTTGGTTTTATTTCAGAGAACTGCACTCTCCAATATTTGTAATAATGAGATTGTGGTTATAATGTTAATTTTGTTGCCAAATTAGAAAGCCCATATTTGGGGTATGAAAGCCCATATTTGGGGTATCTCTGGAAAGTATGAACTTAATGTGGATGTTACTTCTGTCTGCTCAGTTCTTAGTGCCCTTTTTCTGGAGTTCAGCTCCAGTCTATCCTTGCTTACCCCCTACAAGACTGGATTAATATAACTGGGTGACGACATTGAGTGTTTTCCATCTTTTGCCCATAATTTTCTTGCTTATTTTGAATATTTCACATTGATTGATGTATGACCTGGCGTACCAAGGATGCCACTGGCTGGCTGGCCCTTTCCTTTTTTCCATTTTCTCTGGCCTCTGGGGTCAAGGAGCTGAGCTTGCAAGTCAACCCCATCCCCATGTCAAAGGGAAGTAAGACAAAAGAGAGGGCTTATAGTCTGGTACATATTTTTATTAGAAAATGGTTACAATACTCAGTTTTCTGCCATAATCCTTTTTTCTCCTTCTGTAGTGAGAGCAAGAGTCCTCTTTGTGGAACAGAAAAAAATACGCTCCATCTAAACAATGGATTGAAAATGCATTTGATTTATAAATGAGAAGACTGAGGGCGGGGTTCTGATTCAGAAATCCTGCAGCATGAAATAAAAGAAGAGGAAATGACACGGCATCTCTGCCTCCTGTGATTTGAAGGCCATTGTGAAGAAAACAATGCAGTGAAAGAAAGTTCTTCATATTAGGATATATATCATTGCATCACATTTCTTTATCTTTCTAGATATTTTTATAGCCCGTAATAAAATATATTAAAATAGCCTGTAGTATTGTCTCCTGGTGATGTTTTTCCTCACTATTTGAAATTAAAAACACAACTACACTACTAAAAAATAACCATTGTTTTATGTATTGAAAGAACATTTTCCACAGTGAGACTTGTGCAAGAGTTTCCAGGCTGGTCCTCCTTGATCTTCTAGAAAAGGCAGTCACACTCTAGAATGATCTTTAAAAAACTCAATAACAGCGATGGCAAAGGTGAGCAGGAATGATAAGAAGGGAGCCAGTCTCAGCTTTCTAACACAAAGGAAACTATGAGAACTATTTTTGATTTGTGCTTATACTAGTATACTTAGGCAAAATATTGTTGGTCCGTATTCTCAAACTCAGGTTAGGAATGAGGTATCTATGATTTTTCTAGCACAGCTTTGGACTCCTTTATTCTATCTATCTATCTATCTATCTATCTATCTATCTATCTATCTATCTATCTATCATCTAACTATATAAAATAAGAGGTTCTATGTTATTTCTGTAAGCTAGAATGAAGGCTCTGGGGGCCTGGTGTTAACGCACAGCTAACCAGGTTGGAAATTCCACTGACAATCCTTACTGTTCAGATAAAGACGCCTGCTCTGCCCAGATCTATGTACTTTCTCACTCAAGCTATTGTTTCCCACAGATTTTCAAAATTGCCCAGCTTTCTTGTCGAATTTCTGGCTGAAGGTAAGGATTAGCTCATTTTCTGAGCTCTGGTTCGTGTCCTACCCCATTTAAAGCATTTATGTGGGAGAACGAGAGTGCCCACCATGACGACCAGCATTAAGGAACCGATACTGTTTCAAAATAACAGGTGTTCTCTCCCAGGGCCCAATCTGTGTCTCTGAAGAAATGCAAGAGGAGCTCTCTGGAAATGGAATTAGATGCGGATACTTGCTGAGGCTTGGAGGCTTGTGGCAGTGATAGCTCTTTTATGGCATCTTCTGTTAAAGCTCTGGTTCAAAGTAGTAATAGGTGCGATCTTGGCTATTTTTAGATTGGAACTGTACATAATGGTGTTGACTTACAAGAAAAATCTTTCACCTGATCTTACTTGCTAAGCCCATGTAAAGGGTCTTGGACATGGATGAATTGCATTTTTTAAAACAAAACAAAAACCTAAATACTGGCTTAACCAGTGACTTGTCTATTCACACACGGGCTGAATGTGGCCCACAGGTGGTGTTTACATTAAAAAAAAAAAAATGAGTTGCTGACACGTAAATATTCAAAGATTTCAATAAACATCCAAAACTTCTGGCTTCTCTTGCAAAACCAGAAGCTTTGACAATGCTAAAGCCAAAGCTGAATATCAGCTGCCCCTCTTAGGAACTGCTTGAGTGGTCCAATCCATAAGCCCCCACTCCCTTGTTGAACATTTTCTGCTCTTAGGAGCTTTGGCCTCCACAACCTCTGCTAGTGTTCCTGATCTGTTGCCAGTAGAGCCTGCTAGTACTAGTAGTAGTAATGTTTGTACAGGTCCTGGTCATGCACGGAGTCCTTACTTCTGGTGAGCTCTTGCATGAAAAGCAAGGAAATTAATGATTGTAAAGAAATAGATGAAAGCTTGAGGATGACTTGGTAAATGAAAATATTTGCAAAGAAAGGAGAAGAGGACGTTTTATAGTAAGCAGCTAATTAAGACTGGCCACCTTCAAGAACATTTTATTTCCAGGTATTTTTATTTCTGAGTTAGTAGCAATCAAAACAAATAAAGTGGCAGGTCCTTCTTGTGTGGATAGGATGACTGTGTCCCTGCCGCCTGGACACTGACCGTGGCGATGAAACTGGATCTCTTGAGCATTTCTTCCAAGGACAGATTTGGGTAGTAAGCCAGGTAGAAGGCCAAAGCTCCTACAAAACTGTCACCAGCACCCTGCAATACAAAGGACAGCTGTGGAGATAAGCATGTACTCATCTTTCCCCCAAACTTATATTTTTAAAAATATTTAACGACACGTTTATTTTAGAATAGATTTAGATTTACAGGAAAGTTATAAGGATATGATGAGAGTTCCCATAAACCCCACACCCAGTTCTGTAAATACATTACTGTGGTACATGTGTCACAACTAATGAGATAGTAGCGACATATTATTAACTGAACTCCATATTGGTTTGGATTTGCCTAGTTTTGCTTAATGTCCTTTTTCTGTTCTAAGATCTCATCTAGAATATCGTATTACACTTAGTTATCACGTCTCAGATTCCTGTAGGCTGTGATAGTTTCTTATACATTCTTCAGTTTTGATGACCTTGATCGTTTTGAGAACTGGTCAGGTATTGCAGAATGTGCCGTAACTAGGTTTTGTCTGTTGTTGTTTTCTTCTCTCTCTTTTTTTTTAAGATATATTTTTATTGATTACTAGAGAGAGGAAAGGGGAGAGATAGAAGCATGGATAACAGCCGAAACTGGTTTGTCTCAATGGATAGAGCGTCGGCTTGGGAACTGAAAGGTCCCGTGTTCGATTCCGGTCAAGGGCATGTACCTTGGTTGCGGGCACATCCCCAGTAGGGGGTGTGCAAGAGGCAGCTGATTGATGACTCTCTCTCATCGATGTTTCTAACTATCTCTCTCCCTTCCTCTCTGTACAAAATCAGTAAAATATATTAAAAAAAAGAAGCATGGATAACAGAAATAGCATCAATTGGTTTCTTCCTGCATGCCCTTGCTTCCCCCCCCCCCCCCCCCCCACTAGGCATGTGTCTTGACTAGGAATTGAATCAGTGACCTCTTGGTTCCTGGGTTGATGCTAAACCACTGAACCACACCAGGCTAGGGCTAACAAATGCATTTTATTTAATTTAAAAAATATATATTTTATTGATTTTTTTCCCAGAGAGGACGGGAGAAGGATAGAGTTAGAAACATCAATGAGAGAGAATCATCGATCAACTGCCCCTTGCACACCCCCTACTGGGGATGTGCTCGCAACCAAGATACATGCCCTTGACCGGAATTGAACCTGGGACCTTTCAGTCTGCAGGCTGACACACTATCCACTGAGCCAAACTGGTTTTGGCACAGATGCATTTTAGATAAATTAATTAAACAAGTTCACTTTGAAAAATCATTCTGGTATTTAACAGCATTCAGGGCCATTTTCCAGTTTTTCCTAGTTTGCTGGGTTTCTCCCCTTCCCTGCCCCCCAAAAGAGCTTTCATTACAAATCTTGAAGTTATACTTCAGCCTTAATAGAGACCTTGGCCTACAAGACTTTCAGTTGCAACTGATGTATTTCATGAGCTGGCTGCAGCATAGTGATGGGTACCAGAGAAGGAGTATAACTCATTGTGGATTAACTGCTAAATAGTGTGGCAGAGTTTGGATTTTAAGAAAGGTTTTGAAGACAGGCTCTATGAAGAAGGGAGTGCTTATGGAATGAGACAGATTTATAGAGAGAAGGAAAGCTGGAAGGAAGAAGACCCAGGAGGAGGAAGGAACAGAGTGAGCTCATGAGATAGTGAATGGCTTTAAGGAAAATGACATTTTCCCTTGTTTACACATCAAGCAGCTGATTGATAATGTTTCTTTCTCTCTATCCCTCTCCCTCCATCCTCTCTAAAAAATTAATAGATAACCTATATTTTAAAAAATTAAAAATTTTATTAAAATAAGTTTTTCAGGAAAGAAATGTCACTAAACAAGTTTTAAAAACCACCATCAGTCACTTCATGGATTTTCAAATTATCTATTTTTAGTCTCTGGATGATTTCCCTTTTTTTCTTAATTAAGTGGACATGCTGGAGTGAGCTGAATTGGTAGATGCTCTTTCCTGCATTTGGGAATACCCCTATCATTGAGGCTACTTCCTCTGCAACTAAAAACCAGGTAGTGACCCCCATCTGAAAGCCAAGGGGGGTGGGAGCAGCATTTTCTGGCTGTGACAGTGACTTCAGAAAAACAGGTCTGAAGTATTGGTGGCAGCATTGTAATGGCATGCAGGTCCCATGCCAGTAACACAAATGGATGCTTTTGTCCTCAACCAAGAATCTTTTTTTTTTTTTTTTTAAATATATTTTATTGATTTTATACAGAGAGGAAGGGAGAGAGATAGAGAGTTAGAAACATCGATGAGAGAGTCATCAATCAGCTGCCTCTTGCACACCCCCTACTGGGGATATGCCCGCAACCACGGTACATGCCCCTGACCGGAATCGAACCTGGGACCTTTCAGTCCGCAGACTGACGCTCTACCACTGAGCCAAACCGGTCTCGGCCATTCAACCAAGAATCTTGATTGAGGCAATCCCACGTGTTAAATTCTTGTGCATGGATAGAAAGCTTGTGGAATTCATTCCTTGATGACTACCTCCTTAGACAATCCTAAAAAGACGTATGTGCTTAGTCAACAACTGCTGATGGACCAACTCTCAGTTGCCCAAGTCTCCACCTTCTCATTTCACAGAAGTGAGAGGATTGACGGAGGTGGAGCTCCACAGCCTTACCATAAGGAGGGCAGCAGTCAGTCCTCTGAGTCCAAAACCGCAAACAAGCGGGGAGGCTCCTAGCTGATGGGCCACCCGCCCAAAGACATGAAGACCAGAACACGCTAGCTTAGAAATCACATTCCCTCCAAAAGTGGGAAAACGCTTTGAAATTTAAGCAAGAAAGGGGTGGAACCTTTATGGAGGAGTAGAAGGGTGAGGATAGGAGTGAACTTTACTGTTTGCTCTGCATCAGGAGGCAGCAAAACTGGGTACTTTCATACGCATGCAAGACTGACCTCATTTCATCTTTATTAACGAGCCCCCTGAAACTTGAGGGAACTGAGTGTTAGAGACATTAAATAACTTGTCCAGGGTCACACTGTTAGTGGCAGAGCTGCAATTTGCATCCAGACCCAGTTGATTCCATGCTCTGTTCACATCACACCACATGGTACATGGCTGTGGGAGACAGGCAGGCAGGAAGGCGAGAAGGAAGGAAAGCATGCTGAAAAGAATCTCTCCAGCTCCTATTACTCAGCACTCCTCCGAGGATACTTGGGACATTGTGCTATTCTGTGTACAGGCCTGCATACAGTCGGGGACTCTTTGAAAACAGAGAGCAGTGACCACATCTCTGTCCCCTCTGTCTCTCTCATTGTGTCCCTCAGTGCTTTGCATTGACCTGACCAGTTGGTCCTGTTCCATTGTGTTCTTCTCTTCCAAGGTGGCCAGGTGACTCTCTCTGAACTGCATGTCACTTTGTTTTGACATGCACATGGAGGTTAGATTGCTACAGCCAGAACTACTTGATAGTCCCATTGTATTGAACCGGTTTATACCATAGGGCTTTCAAGTGCCAATAAATTACTTGGCTATTGATTCACATCTTCAGTATAACTATTTTTAGACATAGGTATAATTTTTTTAATGGAAAGTGCTTTAAAAGTGGAAGCTGTATTGTATCACTATGATTTCCTGCAAGTAAAGTACTTTCCAATCAATCATTCTTGGAATAATGGAATCATTCTCATTGATACAACATGATGATTTTAACCTTTTACTGAAAATTATTTTTGTGCCAAAAGGGGTGATGGCATAATTCTTCCTTCTTCAACAGAAAAACCCAGGTGCTACTATTCACTGTGTTCTCACAATGATTTCCTCTTAAGGAAGAGCTCCTCTTATAGAATGGATGTGGCATTCTGAAATTCCTGCTCTCCCCAGGGCCCTCACACTCCTGAGTTCTGGGAAGTTCTGGTCTGTGGTACTGGTAGAGCCAGTTTCCTAGGACTGAAGGAGGTTAAATAACTTGCTCGAGGTGAAAATAAAGGTGGTAAATGGCAGTTAAGAGTGAGTGGCACCAAGGACACCTGTGGAAATCCAGCAGATTTCCACAGAGCAGGTGGAGTAACTATTTCGGGAAAGAGAGACTGGGCTTTTGACTTTGCTTAACTTGCCCCATTTCCTGATGGAAAGGGTTTATGTTTTCTATAGTGATGAAGAATGACAGGGACGATAGAGTGAAGACTGCATCTCTAATGACGCCCCTCTGTAGGAGGTCCCATTTTTGGAGAAGAGAGTTGCCCTGGGCAGGGGTGAAGGAAGAATAGGGATGCAAAGGAAGCAAAGGTTTTGGGAATACTTCAGATGAACAGCCAGAGTCCAACCTGGGTAAGGAAGGAAGAGAGGTCATTAGGGGATCAACAGGTCAGAAGAAAATGGAGTAATCTAAGGAAAGTGAGAACAAGTGTAGGAAAAGAGGTGAGAGAGTTGGTTGTGGTCAGAGTAGGATGTGAGGTTTATTCCCACAGAACTGAAGTAATGCCAGGTATTAACCATTTCCTGGGAGTCACCATGGCAGTGGGAGGCTGGAGTGAAAGTGAAGAGTCACTAGGTGAGGGCATCTAAGAACCCTGAGACTTGGTGACGGCTCATCCTACATGATGGTAGCATTGGAATGGAGAGGAAAACGGTGATGTCGATGCCAGTCTTAGAAAAACAGAATTATCAGGAAAGGAGTCAAGGCTCTATAAGTGAAGTGTAAGAACCTCAAAGGTGGAGGAGTCTCTACAGGATGGTAGAGGAGGGATGGCTGGAAGCTTTGGGATCAGGAGCAGCTTTCGCCTGCGAAGGCTGTGTGGGGAGATAAGGATATAAAGGAGCTTGCTTCTGAGGAATAGGACAGCCAGAGGGCTTAGGTTTCGGAAGGGGAGAGGCACAGAGCAATAAGGGATTCTTCTGGGTCTCTGTGTCTCTCTGACCTTCCTTCTTTGTCTCTATCATAAATCTCTCTTCTTCCTCCTGCCCCATTGATGCTGGTATTCCCTTGGGTTCTGTCCTGGCTCATTTCCCTTCTCATTCCCCATAATTTCTTGAGTGACTTAAGTACTATGTAGTTATAGTTTAAACTGGTATGCATACTCACCATATAACATAGCACAGACT